CTCAAATATCATTCAAGAGAGAGGTCAAATATTGAGATATATATTTCAAGTCAGATATTGAGATATATATTTTGAAAATGCTCAAATATCATTCAAGAGAGAGGTCAAATATTGAGATATATATTTTAGAGAGGTCAGATATTGAGATATATATTTTGCAAATACTCAAATATCATTCAAGAGAGAGTTAAGTTAGATATCGAGATATATATTTTGCAAATGCTCAAATATCATTCAAGAGAGAGTTAAGTTATCAAGTGAACAATACCTTGTATTTATAGGTGAGCTTAATAGCTAGTTTCTTGTAAAAATTCGATGTGGGACAATAGTGTAGAAGTTTTGAATAGCTAGTTCTATTAGGTGAGCTTGATAGCTAGTTTCAACCGTAATTCTTTTTTACTAATTATGGAATACTAATTTATCATATCCATCAAACCACAAAGGGCCTACATGTGATATGTCACTCATATTTGTGTTTCTACAAGTGTTTTATATTCGTAATACTTCAAAAAAATGCACTATAAAATAAGTGGATTAACTAAATTTAAAAAAAAAATGTGCAATATCTAGTTCTATTATAAAAAATTATAGAGGGGTTCTCTCAAATGGCCCCATTTTTTATTGTTCCAAAGCTCATGAAGCAACTCGTGAAATATACATAAATATACTAATAATACTAATTATAATAATTAGAATATTATTGCATTTTAACATAATGAGTCTAACACAGGGGCGGATCTAGGGGGTGGCCAAGTATGCCATGGACCACCCCAAATAACGAAAATAAATTTGCCTTAGTAGCAAAGATCTCCAAGTTGTTAGACGAGGTCATGAGTGTTCGACTCCATTATGGTACAAACAAGTATTGTTTAATTTTTTTGTCTAAATTTCTTTTGACCCCCTCTCCCATAAACACATTATATTATATCTATATTACTATTTAGTCCACCCAAAATTCAAAATATACAAAAAAAGTCCTAACTTTTTTTTTTTTTTTTTAGCCCCTCTCCCCAAAAACACATTATATTATATTTATATTATTATTTAGTCCACACAAAATTCAAAATATACAAAAAAAGTCCTAAATTTTTTCTTGTTTTTTTAGCCCCTCTCCCCAAAAACACATTATATTATATCTATATTATTATTTAGTCCACCCAAAATTCAAAATATACAAAAAAAGTCCCAAATTTTTTCCTCTCCTAATTTATCCAAAAAAGAAAAAAAAATTCAATTTTTTTTCCCTTCTCCTAATTTATTCAACAAAAAAAGGTTCAAATTTTTTTTTCCGAGGGCGCTGCCCCCGAACCCCCAAAAATTTAACCCCACTATACAGTAAATTTCTGAACTCGGCATACCCTGAATTTTCGTCCTGGATCCGCCACTGGTGTAACATGAACAATAACACCTATGATTTATTATAGGGTGGCTAGAATTAATACCAAAATTTCCTCACTTCAATACCACAAGTTTAATACCATATTTTAGAGAAGGTTTTATAATTTTTTTTAGATTAATACCGCAAATAGTTTTTTTTTAATAGCAAAGTACTAAAATATCCCTCATCAAACAAAATACAATTTATACAATATTATTTTTCCTCATTTCAATACCAAAAATTAAAAAACTTTCTTCTCCCCTAAACCCAAACTCAAACTCAAACTCAAACTCAAACTCAAACCCAAACCCAAATCCTCTCTTCTTCTCTCCAAACACAAACCCAAACCCAACCCTCTCTTCTTCATCTTCTTACAAACCCTCCGAAAAAACTCAAAAATTCAAAAAAATTAAAACCTCACAAAACTTATAAAATGGAGTCACAAGACAATAAATGGTGGTTTACATGGAAGGAGAACCCATTAAAGTATGTATTCATGTCTTTTTTGAGTTTCAAAGTCGATTTTTTAGTTTTTTTTTTTTTTTTTTTCTGAAATTCACATACAATTTTCGACACATACAGGTCGAATTTTTGGTGAATTTTCGCCACCAACTTGTCGAAAATTGTATTAAAAAAAAAACCAAATTCGACACATACATGTCGAAATTTTGAGAAATTTCGACATGTATGTATCGAATTTGGTCTGTTTTTTTAAAATACAATTTTCGACAAGTTGGTGTCGAAAATTGACCAAAAATTCGATCTGTATTTGTCGAAAATCTATGGCGGGTCTAAAGAAAAACCTCAAAATCGACTTTTAAGCTAAAAAAAGACATGACTACATACCTTAATGGGTTCTCCTTACTCGTAAACTACCATTTTATTGTTATTTGATTGCATTTTACAAGTTGTGTAAGGTTTTGATTTCTTTAGTTTTGAGATTTTTTAGGAGGGTTTGTTTGTTGGAAGAAGAAGAAGAAGAAGAAGAAGAAGAAGAAGAGGAAGAAGATGAGGAGTTTGTAAAGAGGGAGATGGTTTGATGGGGGGTTTGTGTGTTTGGTTTTGAAGAAAGAAAAATGAGATTTGTAATGTATTTTTGGTTTTAATTTTCATTAATAGTATTTATGTCATAGACTATTTATTATCTAATTTTTTTTATGGTATTAAAGTAATAAAATTTTGTTATTAGTTCTAGCCATCCCATTTATTATTCTTATTATCCTTTTTTTTTTTTTTTTTTAAGAAATTATCCTATTATAAATATCTAATAAAATAAAATCTATAATTCAAAAATCAGATTTGTTTAGGGTAATGAAGGCTTATGGGCTATAGTGATGCTTGATCTGGAGCCCTAAAGTTTTTTATTCGAGCTCGTATAATTTTACCTGAACTCGAGCGGCTTGACTTGAGCTCAGCACACACTCGATTATTTACACCATCATGTGTATAGTGTATAATATCGTATAAAATTGTCCAATAAATATCGGCAAATATAGTTCACCGAGCATACGGTATACCATCTACGTGAGCATTACGATTCATTAGGCTCGGTGTGGCTAAAGCGACGTTCTAAAACGAAAAAAAAAACTAATGGGGCTTTGGGCTGGCATATCCACTAGATTTTGGCTTCTATTGTAAGCTCAGTAGATTCGCATCATTTGTTTACTTCTGAGGTTGAAACTCTTGAGGAGACGTGGCCACTTTTAGACTCTCTAATATGTATACTTAGGGGTTCAAGTCGGAACGAAAATTTCAATTTTCTCCGGTTTCGATCCAAAAAGTTTCGATTTTGGAACAACTTTTTTCATTCCGATTTCCGAAATTCTGATTTCCGAATTTTTCCGATTTTTTTAGATTGGAATTGGAATTATATAAAATAAATTTGGAATTTCCGGTTTCCGATCCGATTTAATTTCCGAAATTAATTCCGAAAAAATCTGTTTTTTCCCGAAAAATACACCCATAAATAATATATATTATATAATATTTATTTTCCGAAAAATACACCTATAAATTTGTTTTTAGGATTTTGAGATAATGAATTGTAGTTAGAAGTTTTATTGGATATTGTGTTGTGTTTATTTTTATTTATTTTTTTGAACTAAAAGTTACTCCCTCCGTTCCCTATTAAGTGTCGTTTTTGGCTTTGCACAAGAATTAAGAAGCTCAATAAATGTGTCTTGATTTTAGGTAAAATATATTAGAAAGACTAAAATAACCTTTATTATTTAATGATGTGATAAGAGAGAGTTAATATTTATAGTTGAATTAATAAGGTTAAAACAGGAAAAAATGCATTTAATGCAGTATTGGAAATTTAAAATGACAGATAATATGGAACAAAAATATTTTAAAAAAGAGACAGATATTGTGGAACAGAGGGAGTAGTAATTATTAGTTTTACTTTTATCGACGTGGATGTTCTTATTTTTTGAAAATTATGAACATTTTCAAAAAATTCCGCTAAGTTTTGAAATTTTATAGCTTCTGTGATTTCCGATTTTTTTCCGAAATTCCGATATTTCCGGGCCTTTTGGAATTAGAATGAGTTTTTAGATTCCGAAAATTTTAGAATAAGAATTGGAATTGATTTTGTACTTCCGAAATTTTTTGAAAATCTTCCGAAAATTCTAATTCCAATCCGATCCAGTTCATGCATATTTATTAATTTTTAATATTTGTGCCGAAACTTTAAATGACAAATAATTTTAAAATAAGCGAGTAATTCACTAAATTTAAAACTAAATTCATCCATGATTGAGATGTGAAGACTTTATGAACAACAATTTAAAATGCAATTTTCTCTTTTTTTTTTTTTTTTAAGAGAAATCATTTTTTTCTTTTTTTGATAATCATATTAATTAGAATCCAATTTCTAAATTTTCTTAACTTGGTATTAACTTTTTCCTAAAAAAAACTAATATTTACTTGTTGGTTTCTTAGAACTCAATGAAAAATTACTCAAATATGATGGTTGTTTCAAGAGTTTCCGCGTGTGAAGGAAACATTGTAATACTCATCAGTTTGAATGATATATTTTCACTTATCTACAAATCAACCTAAGTGAAGCGATATTCGACGTCCATTGATTCCCGATAATTATTTCTCTAATAATATTTATTGAATTAATTATAATTTTGTTAGATTATAAAAAGTTTGTCCATCACGGGCTTATTTTAATTTATTGAATTTTAATTGCAAATGGTATATTATTTATATTTATAAGGGAAAAAAAAAAAAAGGCAGACCATGACCACCCCTGAGGTATGGCTAAATTACGAAAAAATCCCCTCTTGTGGAATAATTAAGTTTATTTTAATTTATTGAATTTTAATTGCAAATGATATATTATATTTATAAGGAGGAGAAAAAATTACATAAATGAAATTTAGGGGCCAAAAAGAACAAGTGAAAAAGAATAACAAATTATTATTATCTAACATATTCGCAATAGATTTCGGGCCACACAAAAATTCACATCTTTTTTTTTTTTTTTTTTTTTTTTTGATAATTACAAAAACCCATATCACCTCCACAAAACCCATCCCCAATTCCTTTTCCCGTTATCCACCATCATCAACACACACTCACAGTGTGTGCCACTGTGTGTGTGAAAAAACAAGAAGAAGAAGAAGATATGGCGGCAGCATCAGAATCGATTATGAAAATATTACCCAACTCTTCTTCAGCCCTCTGCAACTTAAATGGCTCTTCCCGTAGGCCTCTGCCGCCCGTCTCTCAATCCACGCGCCGCCGTAGGTGTAACCCTTCTTCCAGAGTTCGTGCCCTTTCTTCTTCGTTTCTTGGCACCGTCCGCCTCAGCTCCGCCGCCGCCAAGCTCTCGACTTTGCAGCAGAGAAGGAACTTGTCTGTATTTGCCATGGCTGCTGCCCCTGTTGGTACAATTCTCTCTCTCTCTCTCTCTCTCTCTCTCTCTCTCTCATAACTGTCAATTGCATTTCTGAATGTTTAATCCAAAACGTCGTCGTTTCAATGATTTTTTGTTAAGAGATTATTAACCTATATTGATTTATGAATTATTCCATCTCTGTATTTGTTATATGAGTGTTCTTTTTGCTCAATTGGAAATGGTTCGAAAAAAAGCAGAAGCTAATTCATACATTCCATTGTTTGATTGTGGTTTTTTCAATATGTGCAAAACTCGAGCGCGCTGCATTTTATCGTTCGTCGCTAATCTTTAACGGAGTTATACGAATTTTCAGACGAATGGTTCTAGTTTCCTACTGTGTATTTGGATCAACACGGAAAATTACAATTGTATGATAAGGATCACAAGAGAACAAGCATAATTGGAATCCATTGTTGTCTTTTCTTGTAAAAATTCGACCTTTTTTTTCTTCTGATAATCCGTATGAAAGTTATTACAAACTGAAAATCATGCAATGATCTATAACTCTCACGACCGAATATAATTGTTGTTCTAAATCATTACATAGAGTTGATTTTATACTTTTTCTTTGTTACCATATTTTCAGACATCTTTTATGTTCTCTCAAGATTCATTCTTTATGTTCTCTAAAGATTCAATTGTTATGTTCTCTGAAGATTCAATTTTTATGTTCTCTAAAGATTCAATTTTTATTTTCTCTGAAGATTCAATTTTTTTTTTCTCTAAAGATTCATTTTACTATGTTCTCTAAAGACTCATTTTTATGTTCTCTAAAGATTCATTCTTTATCTTCTCAAAAAAAAAAAAAGATTCATTCTTTATGTTCTCTAAAGATTCATTTTTTATGTTCTCTAAAGACTCATTTTTATGTTCTCTAAAGATTCAATTTTTATGTTCTCCCACAAACCTATCTTTCGCCCAAAAATCCCTCAACATAATTTTCTCATTATTCCCTCTCGACTTTTTTTTTTCGACAGAGGAAAAAAGAACGGTCCCACTAAGAGACTACCGTAACATCGGAATCATGGCCCACATAGACGCGGGCAAAACCACCACAACAGAGCGTATCCTCTACTACACGGGCCGCAACTACAAGATCGGAGAGGTCCACGAGGGCACCGCCACAATGGACTGGATGGAGCAAGAGCAAGAGCGAGGGATCACCATAACTTCCGCTGCGACCACCACATTCTGGAACAAGCACCGCATCAACATCATCGACACACCAGGCCACGTGGACTTCACGCTCGAGGTCGAGCGGGCCCTACGTGTCCTCGACGGCGCCATCTGTCTCTTCGACAGCGTCGCCGGAGTCGAGCCCCAGTCGGAGACAGTCTGGCGGCAGGCCGATAAATACGGGGTTCCCCGTATATGCTTCGTCAACAAAATGGACCGCTTGGGAGCAAATTTCTTCCGCACAATAGACATGATTGTAAGTAACCTCGGAGCCAAACCCTTAGTCCTCCAAATACCCGTCGGAGCCGAAGACACCTTTAAGGGCGTAATCGACATTGTAAGAATGCAAGCAATTATTTGGTCCGGCGAAGAATTGGGCGCGAAGTTCTCCTACGAGGAAATACCCGAAGATCTTCAAGATTTGGCTCATGAGTATCGCGCCCAAATGATCGAAAACATAGTTGAGCTCGATGACGAGGCGATGGAGGGGTACCTAGAAGGGCTCGAGCCAGATGAAGAAACTATCAAGAAGCTAATTCGGAAAGGGACTATTGGGGGATCTTTCGTTCCAGTTTTGTGTGGGTCCGCTTTTAAAAATAAAGGTGTGCAGCCACTATTGGATTCGGTGGTGGACTATTTGCCTTCTCCCGAGGAGGTGCCGCCAATGAAAGGAACCGACCCCGACGACCCGGAATTGATAATCGAACGAGGGGCGAACGACAGCGAGCCCTTTGCTGGATTGGCTTTCAAGATTATGAGCGACCCTTTTGTGGGTTCACTCACTTTCGTTAGGGTTTACGCGGGAAAGCTCGAGGCGGGTTCTTACGTGCTCAACTCGAATAAAGGAAAAAAAGAGAGAATTGGTAGACTTCTTGAAATGCACGCGAATAGTAGAGAGGATGTCAAGGTTGCCCTAACGGGGGATATTATTGCGCTTGCTGGTCTGAAAGATACTGTTACCGGCGAGACTTTGTGCGATCCGGAAAAACCGATTGTTCTTGAAAGAATGGATTTCCCGGACCCTGTTATTAAGGTTGCGATTGAACCTAAGACGAAAGCGGATATCGATAAGATGGCGGTTGGGTTGATTAAACTTGCGCAAGAGGATCCTTCTTTCCATTTTTCGAGAGATGAAGAGATTAATCAGACGGTTATTGAAGGCATGGGAGAGTTGCATCTTGAGATTATCGTTGATCGGCTTAAAAGGGAATATAAGGTTCGATTCTTTTCACTGATGTTTTTATTTTTTCGGGAATTTCTTAATATGTTTTTTTGCCTGTATTTTGTCGTTGCAAAAATCACCTAAGTAAAGCTTGCGTCGTACACGGTAACGGAACTTTCCAAAAACTCACTCTGCGTAAATCTCAAATTTAGGTGTTGTTTGCAAACACCACCTTAGTTCCCGTCCGATGAATTATTTTCGTATTTTGATAAATTAAAAAAAAAAAAAATACCTAAACAAGAATCAAGAAAATAAGGAGAATATTCTATTTTACAAAGTAAATTGTTTTGCTTAAAAAGGTGGAAGCAAACGTGGGAGCGCCACAAGTCAACTACCGGGAGAGCATATCAAAGATAACAGAAGTCAAATACGTCCACAAGAAGCAATCGGGCGGGTCGGGTCAGTTCGCTGACATCACCGTCCGATTCGAGCCGTTGGAAGCTGGCAGCGGGTACGAGTTCAAGAGCGAGATCAAGGGTGGAGCTGTGCCCAGGGAGTACATTCCAGGTGTCGTCAAGGGATTGGAGGAGAGCATGAGCAACGGTGTTTTGGCCGGATACCCCGTCGTTGATGTTCGTGCTGTGTTGGTCGATGGGTCCTACCACGATGTTGACTCCAGCGTCTTGGCGTTCCAGCTGGCGGCAAGAGGGGCGTTTAGGGAAGGTATTAGGAAGGCGGGCCCACGCATGCTCGAGCCTATTATGAAGGTGGAGGTTGTTACGCCCGAAGACCATTTGGGTGATGTCATTGGTGACCTCAACTCGAGGAGAGGGCAAATCGAGAATTTTGGAGATAAACCTGGTGGCTTGAAGGTAATTTAACGTGATGTGGCAAAATTTCGTTTCAGTTTTAATAATACCTTTTTGACTTTAAACGTGATTTAGACCGTTTTCGAGTATGCATTTGGCAAATCTCAGGGCATGGAATTTGTAGTTCTTTGAGTTAGCTTTCCGATCAAACTCGAATCACCGAAATTAGATGTCGGGTGAGCAATATATGCATGAATCAATGAACACATTGCTCCCACAAATTTAATTTGAGTTATCTAAAATTCAAAGGGCAAGAAGTCAACTCATTCATGCATAACTTTGTCTGCCGACATCCAATCTAGCTGATTCAAGTTGGATTAGAAAGTCAACTCAAAGGACTACAGTTTCCGTGTTGTGAATTTTTGCCAAAATTAGACTAGAATATGGTCAAAATCACGTTCTAAATCAACATTTCAGTTCTTTTTATTATTAAAGTTATAAATTTGATGGCTTGTGAATAATGAATGATTTTTTTGGCGAAGGTGGTGGATGCTTTGGTGCCGCTGGCGGAGATGTTTCAGTATGTGAGTACATTAAGAGGAATGACGAAAGGGCGAGCTTCGTATACGATGCAGTTGGCTAAATTTGACGTTGTGCCTCAGCATATTCAGAACCAGCTCGCTACAAAAGAAGAGGCTGTTACTGCCTGATCTTGATTCCTCGTACTAAACAAAAAATATAAATACAATTCGCTATTGCAAAGATTGATGTTCTTTTCGTTTATAATTTAATTTTTTTCTTTTTTTTTTTTTTTTTTTTTTTGTTTGGGGGAACGATGAGCAGATTTTTTGCACATAGAACAATTGAATGGTGAAGGTATAGAAGAGACAGCTTCAGTTGTCTGCTTTTTTATCGGTGGACTTGCCAAATGAGTTTTTGACTATATAAAGCTGAGTTTAATTGAAGGCTGCGGCTATATGCAATACTCATTCCACTTGTGCAAGACCAAATTAAAGAAAGATTCCAAAAGATTCTATTTTATTAAGATGTAATGACAAGTATGCCCATAAATTGAATTGGCTTTTTTTTTCTCATGTAAGACCAAATACAAATAATGAGAAAAAAACAAAAATCGACACCAAGGTGTCGAAAAACTATGCTACAAATCGACACTTCAGCGTCGAATTTCATCGGTAAAAATCGACATTGACATGTCGAATTTGTAGCACAAATTCAAATGTCGAATTTTATACCTAAAAATCGACATCTAAATGTCGAATTTTGTACCTCAAATTCGACATCTACATGTCGATTTTTACCTGTAAAATTCGACCTGTACATGTCGAATTCGTTTGCGCGGGATTTTTTTTGGAAAATCGATATTCTAGCTAAAAAAAACCCATAAATGCATACATTCTTGGGTTCTTCCATCGTAGAATCTTCTATTTTGATGTCTTCTGACTCCATACTTGCCATCTTTGTAAGATTTGTTGAGTTTTGATGATTTTGAATTTCTAGGTTTTGTGGGTTAATGGAGGAGGAAGGAGAAAGGTCTTGTGAGTTTTGGAAGATGGAGAAGATGATAGTTGGTCTTGTGGTTTTGTGGTCTTGTGATAGGTTTTTTTGTGTTTTTGAATTTTTAGTCTTGCATATTTGGAATTTTTTATTTTTTTAATAAATAAGGGTATTATAGTATTTATACATTGAAAATTTTAATTTGGTCTTGCACAAGTGGAATTAGTCTTGCATATAGCCGCAGCCTTAATTGAATTATTTGTTAATGATTTGATGATTATTGAAGATTCTTCAATTTAATCCGACGGCGGATTAGATTAATCGACGATCGATTGTGTATTTCATATCTATATTCTATACTCGTCGATTTTTTATTTTTTTTTTAATAATTAAGAAACATATTTGAAAGAAATCGAACAAACAAGAGTCACTTAATTTCAATTTAAAAAAAAAAAAAAAAAAAAACAGCAACAGGACTGGTACATACAGTTTTAGCAATCTTTAGAAGGAAGAAATTTGTTAATTAGTTCTAGGGGTGGAAATTGGAATGCCGATTTCGATCTGATTTTGTAATAATATTTTCCAATCCTAATTCCAAAATTTCGACTTCCCATATTTCCAAAATTATTTGGACCGGAATTGGAATATATATGAAGTTCCAATTTCCGATCCAATTTAAGTTTCAAAAATAATTCCGAAACTTCCGATTGTTTTTCTGAATATTACACTTAAATGCCAATCTTATTGTGTATATTATATTTTAGGTGACCAAAAATATGAATTTTCCCATTTCCGCCAATTTTTGATCCAAAATTTTCCAATTTTGGAAGTAATTTTTTCAATCCAATTTCCAATTATTTTGAAACTAAATCGGAACTAGCTTCTCACTTCCGGTAAAACTATCAAAATTTGTCCGAAACAGGTAGTCCCGATTCGATCCGTCCGATTTGCACCATGATTTATGTCAACAAGAATCAAACTTTAGCTTGAATGTTAAACAACAAATATAGCATAAACAAAATATACCCACAATCTAGTAATCCATTCTCCTTAAAACTTAGAATCATAAACCCCATCAAAAATTTACTACAAGTCAATATATAATTCAGACATTTGATAATATCCATTCAGCAAAAACAACTTCCAAAATATTACTAGCACAAAACTTTCAAGAACCAAAACAAGTATTCTAACCATGGAAAATAGTATCTCATCGACATCGTTTCCAAATCCAAGCCCACATCACCAAAAAAATGCCATGGCAATTTCTAAACTGTACGGACAAACTCGAGAGCTAGTGAAGAGTAGTTTATGGACAAAATGCGATTACAGAATAGTAATTAAATTAAATCAGTGAAACATCAAAAGGTGTAATCGATCGTATTAACCATTTCATTTAGGAACAAAGATCTCCAATTTCCCCCGATCGCCTATTTGACTTGCACGATTCCAGCACTTATCAGCTTCTGAATTTTGTTCATGACAAGTGGGTTCTTCATGTGAGCCTGCGCTGCACTCGGATCCTCTTGGAAATCGGACAACACCTATATACACATATATATAACAACAAGAATTCAGGACATATTGCATGACATAATGTAATAAGTATAGAATTGTATAATCATGGATTATAACCGGGGCCCCACTTGTTGTAATCATGGATTCAAAACCTAAAAATCGAAACTACTGAACAAACATTGATTCTTTACGTACCTGCTGCATCACTGGGTCTTTTAAGATGTTTTGAATCTCAGGATCATGCATTCCCTTGGCCTAAAAAAAATAAATAAATATTCGTGTAAGTACTAAATACAGTCCAAATCTGGCTAAACAAGAGACCAATAAATATATAATATCAAAACCTGTCTCTCTTTCAATTCATCGGGGGTCAAATCTCCACGGCTAGCCTTGTTTATCTGTTCTACACATCTGCAGAAAAAAATGTGCGAGAGCCGTTTGAGCTATCCATAAAAAAAAAAAAGAAAAAACGAAAAAAAAATTGTGCTTTGTACCTCCTGACACCATCGAGCAATTCCTGGTTTCTAGGATCATGCTTCAACCCCTCCTGGTAAGTTTCAAGGGCTTTCTCGTACTCCTTCATGAAAAATTGAACAGCACCTTTTCTGATATATCCTTTCGTAAATGTCGGATCGAGATCAATGCACTTCTCAGCATCTTTCAGTCCCTCAGGCATCGCCCCGAGTTTCGTGTAACAAGCAGCTCTGTTACTGTACGCCTGCAAATTCAACAGTTCAGAAATGCAGTACACAAAAAACATCTTTAAAATATTATTAAAAATATAAGTACCTTGAAATCCTTAGGGTTCCTCTTAATCGCTTCAGTGTAGTGCTTAATCGCCTCAGGGTACTTCTGCTCTTTAAAATACTGGTTGCCTAGAAATCATCACCGGAAATTGTTTATAACAAGTTCATATTTCGTACCTATCGACATTTATTTAATTAATTAATTAACAATGATTTAATAAAAGACAGGAGAAACACCTTTATCGCGCTCCTCGTCGGCTATTTGTGGATCAAAGTACTCCTGTTGCTCTAACTCTTTCTTAGCTTTCTCGGCATCGTTGAGCTTTTTAAGGGTGTCTGGATTCCGATGCTCGGTTAGAGCTTTCTGGAAAGCTTCAATGGCGGGTTCGTAATCCTTTGAAGACTTGGCCATCTTCGACAACGCAGTTCCCTTTCTAGTCAAAGCCCTAGCTACCATCTTGTAATCTGATCTAAGTTCTCTACCCCTTTCAACGGCTTTGTCGCAGTCTTTAATGCAGTCCTCAAGCTGAAATTGGAGAAATCGATAAGGGTATTAGACTTGAAATGCAGCGCATTCGAGATTTTCAATTAGCAATAATTAGTGACAAAAGATAAATAGACCCATAAATAGTGACAAAACTTTGCAAGAAGAAAAGCCAACAACAAATCGATAAGAAAGGCGACGAGGAAACTATTTCCAATGGTGAGTTTCTTGTTTTTTTTTTACGAAGAAAACTACAAAAATCAAAGTACTCAAAGGCTAAGCACTATTCCCAATTTACATTCCGATGCACCTAAACTTCACCAAAGGCACTTCAAAGGATGATAACAGTATGCGAATTCTTTTTAGACACATAAAGTAACAAGATATTGACCCTAAATAATTAACCTAAAAGAATCTTTTTACCTCAAAAGGGTCACTAATGCTAAACGACGTCCACAAACGTAATTATGGGCATTGTCAGTCAATCGAAAGAATCATTCAGCACAATACGAATGCCAATTCAGAACAGAAATTCTAAATCTACAAACCTTTTACAAAGAACAAAAGGTCTTCATCAAATAATGGCTAACGAGTATCTACATAGTGCCTGTCAAGCAATTTGCAACAAATTAAGGTGGTGTTTGCAAATGCTAATTTAAAAACAGAAGTTACTGATAGTAAATTAAGTTGGTTTGAAGTGCTTATTTGTAGAAGTTGGGTGTGTTTGCAAATACTCTTAAAAATCAACTAAAATTGAAAAAGCAGATCCATGGGTGCTTATAAAATTACAGCTTGAAACAACTTACTTTAAGAGAAGCAAAAGCAAAAGCCGAGTTTGCAAACACCTAAAAACAGATTATGATCTAACAAGAAGTTCAAAATCTATTCCTAGAAGCTTTTGCAAACACCACCTAAAGCAACTCGATCGCAACTACTAGGGTATATTTCGGCTCAATACACACGAGTAACTAAACAAACACATCCCCGAACATCATGTATGATAAAACTCTATGTTTAAATAGAATCAAAACAGAATCTAGGGCATAACTTCAGCAAATCAGCACCAAAGTGTCGAGTATGAGATAAATCAGCTACTAAAGAACTTAAAACACACACAGCAGGTAATTTTGCTTCAATAAAACTAGTTATTATTAATGCACCAAAATTTCATGAAATATAAAATGTACCTTTCCCATCTCAAGATAAACAGCAGCGCGATTAGTAAGGAACGAGATATCTTCATCGTCGAGCTCGATAGCCTTCGAGTAATGATCAATGGCTGTGTCGAAATCCTTCTTTTTATAAGCAGCATTCCCAGTTTCCTTCTCTTTCTGAGCCAACGCTTTTCTTTCCCTCTTCTCCTTCTCTTCATCCATAACCTCCATGGGCTCCGGTTCGGTCTCACCCTCCGTTTCCGAACTCTTCTCCTCCTTCACCGCCTCAGATTCCGCGGCCCTCTTCCTCTCCGGCGAACCACCACCACCGCCACCAGATGTCGACTGCGACGCCGTTTCTGCATCATCATCCTCTGCTCCCCTTGCCTGGAACTTGAGGTTCAACAGAACCCCCAAAGCCTGCATAACCCTCGGATCTTTCAAATATAAGTTCAGATTATTCGGGCTCTTCTGAATATCCTGCATCATTTTGACGAAATCCGGCTGCTGAAGAAGCTCCCGTGTACCCGCATCGCTGGAAAGCCTGACCCACATCTCCGGCCCGAACGCCTCCCCGAACGGGTTCGACCCGGGTCCGCCGCCGCGGGTCCTGGAGCTCCGGGAAGAAGCGGCCTCCGCATCGGCGAGACCCGACTTGAGGGCGTCGTTGTTGGGATCGATCTCGAGGCCCCTTTTGTATGACGAAACGGCGTCGTCGTAGCTGCGGAGGCCCATGTGCGCCGCGCCGAGGCGAGAGTAGCCCTTGCCCCAATCGGGCTTGAGCTCGACGGTCTTCTCCGCATCGGAGAGTGCCTCGGAGAATTTGTTGAGGGAGGCGTAGGCGGCGGATCGGTTGGAGTAGAGGACGTGGTTGGTCGGGGCTAAGCCGATGGCGTCGGTGAAGTGGGCGACGGCGTCGTCGAAATTGCCGGCGGAGAACGCGGCGTTTCCTTTCGCCTTCGCTTCGTCTGCCATTGTTGATCAAATTGTGAGGTTTAAATCGAATAGCAGTAGGGTTTTGGGAATCTCAGAGAATCACAAAATAGCAGACGATTTGAAAACGAAGAGCATAATAAATGGGGAAGAAAAATGATGAGTGAGAGACGAGAGAGTTCTAGGGAGAGGATTAGGGTTTCTAGAACGTTCGAGGAGAGCGAGGATTTGATTGGGTGTGGGGAAGCACGTCAAGCCTATGGTGTACCATCGGGATGCGGGCCTTTTTTGGGCTTTTTTTTTCCAAATGGACTACAAGAAATAATTACCATTTGGAAACAATTTTGGTAAATAAGATATTATTAAAGGTAAATGGAAAATAGGCTCATGAGTCAAAAAAATAATTTTGTAAATAAATACCCTTCATAATATAATTAGTAATAATTTTATTCATGGCACTTTAACTTCATCAATATTATATAGTGACCCCGGATTTGAACAAATATATTATATTAACCTCCATATTTATACTTTTTTTTTTTTTAAATTCATAAAATATATTTATAAGTTTATGTGGTACACCTATATAATTGGTTGCAGGTTCTTTTATTTAAAAAAAATTAACATAATAAACTTTCTATTTAACTCTCATCTCAATCTTTTTTTTGTTTTGTCGATTTTTTACACATAAAAGTTGTCCGTTCACTCTGTAAAAAACATTAAAGACTACCTTTTTGTATTGTATTAAATTAGATAAATTGTTATATTTGTTATCTTATAACATCCGCGTATAAATTTGTTTTATACTT